AGCGAAATCCGTCATCAAGCGAAGAGATAGCCCGGCACCTCGAGTGTACCTCGTTCCAGAAAGAGGCGTCACCAAGCTAAGTGCGGAGTCACGCTGAGCTGTACAGATATTAGTCATACTCGCTCACTAATAGCTCATTGTACAGCCTATCCCACGATGTCTGGGGTGCTACAGCGCGTTCCAAGCCGTCACAGAAAGCGATCCGTTTTCTTGCAGCCGCGCGAGGACAAGGATCATGCCCCTGTCGAAGTTGACTGGCCCAAAGACGTGGTCAAGATATACAAGTGCCTAAATCCGTCCAAGATTAGGTTCAAGGACATAGGTGACTACGGTTCATGCGATTGCTTTGGAGATTGATTCATGGACACCAGCGCGAACTTGGGTTCAGCTGTCTCCCGTACTAAGGTGCGTTACTGCTTAACGCAAAGACCTGCAATTCCAGCGCATTATGCAGTAACGCACCTGCATTCGGTCTGCGTTGAAATTGTTCGACACACGTCGCATGAGATTGGGTGTTTTTACGACTACAGTTTTGGATGTGGGTGATATCGTGAAAGAGTACATCGGTGTATTGCTCGAGGACGAGGACCTGGACAAAGGCAACCTAACCTGGCTCTAAAACATAACAGCGGATACACAATCTTCTACAATATGCGATCTACCAAGAACAAGTTCGTGGTCGAAGCTGTCAAGGCTGGTAGCATCACGCTGTTCATCTCCCAGCGTTCAAGCCAAACGTTGCGTTCGTTGAAAGTGTTGGTGCTCATGGTTAAAAACGTGAAGGTAGTTGCGCAAATAAGAGCTCACTGCGGCGATGAAACGTGGTTTAAATGAGCTTGTAATAAGTGCTGGGTAGTGCGACGCAATGGAACTTGCAATTTTTCTGGATGCATCATCTCAAGCTGCGCGCTACGATTGGCCAAGGTGATAGAAACCGCAAGTGCGACACGGCTCGAGAAGGGCGACGGGGAGTCAAAGTGGCTGACACATAATCGCCGGAAGACGTCCAAGCGACGACCAAGATCGAAGCCTCGAAGAGTCCAGCTTGACCTCATACTGGAGCCAAGTCTAGTCCGACCCAATATTCGCCCACTATCTGAAGCCTGACGTCCAGGTGGAGGACGTCCAAGAGGTGACCAGCATTCGTGAGGTGTGGTTATCCAGACACCCGACCAACCATACTGAGACCAAGCAATTTCCGACCGACCAAGCCGACCGGCAATGATGTGCAATACCCGACCAAGTACATTGAAGACGGCCAAGTTATGTCTAAGTCATTAATGATGCGTATACGGTGCGACCGACGACTACTGAACCCACACCATACTTAAGTCAAGATAAATCAGGCGTGTGATTATCAGATCCGCAAAGCGATAGACAAAGAAAGAGATACATCAAAGAAAAGAAATAACAATAAAACAGAATACGTTTTCCCCAAAAGGCTCAAGTGCCAAGCTGTGTGCTGCGTCTGCTAAGGAAGAAATCGCCTGGAGCCGAAGAGGAGCTTCCGGACAAGCCTGCCGTGACGAAGAGTAATACCGCCGGAGGCCTGGAGACTCAAAGCCGACATCCAGACGTACCGTAACCACGACAACGCGGCGCGGGGGTTCTAGTTCAAGTTCAAGTTAGGCGGGGACTCAACGGGTGAGCGCTAGGGGTGAACTGTACTATTTAATATTCCAGTTTGAGTACTCTCTTAGAGGTCTTCATATTATTGCGGTACCTTGGAGGTTTGATGGTAGGTAGTCCCTAAGTATTGATTGATTGATTACTTACTGTGTAAACGGAAATATTCTGTAGTGATAAATATTCATCCTATTGGAAGTGGTGTGCGATTGAGGAAGGGTGTGCTTTCAAGAGCCTGCAGCTGAGAACGAATGAATTTGGAAAATAAGCATACCTTCACACTACATGGATAAGTGAACATAATGTACGCATGTTTCAGTGTCATAATATTGTTTAAAGCTTCTGGAAGGTATTGTTAGTTCATTGATTTTTTCAACGCCCAAAGCACGGGGATTCCGTTTAATTTTTAAGACCTTCCATTAATCTCAATAGAAATGATAGACTAATGCAAACAATGTGAGGAAATTTACCCGAGATCATTAACCCTTTCGTGGTCACTAATGAAAAGGGGCATTTGACACCTTTTCGAAAGTGTATCGTAGAGTACCACTTGTTTCACTCATGAAAGGGGCAAAATGTCCCCATTCATTAAATTTTGGGTATGGACGAGACCGAATCGCCCTTTCTACTTGAACTACAAATGTTTTCTGTAGTACCGTGGTTTATGAAAGGTGTTAAGATGCCCTCTTTGACGGCCTAATGACGTCGATCGCAGCGCGAGCACGACGTGAACACAGACCCCCAAAATCGTAGCAGTAGCCACACAGACACCAGCGAGCTTCTACATCTACCGGCCACTCACTAAAGGGCTGAATTTGGACCTCCGTACGCACCTAGTTGCTACCCGTCTGGGCAGGAACAGCGATTCCCTCCTCAGAGTGTTTGTGTGGGGGGACTTGAACGCGGTTTGCCAGTTTAGAAGAAACATAAACTCTAACAGGGCTGCACGCAAGTAGCTACATGTAACCACATGGTTATGAAGGATTTCCACATTGGTGTGCGATACATCCATGATTACATTTGGCAGACGACTGGTCTGCATGCATTTAGACTTCCTATTGGTAGAAAGGCAACATCATTCTACCAACTACAGCAGTAGGATTCTGCCAACTACTCGTGGGCAGATACCTTTCATAGCCAATATCACTTTTAGGAGTAAACCCAAACAATGACATTAAGTCATACTTCCTCTGGTTGATAATGATTGCAGGAAGGCAATATGACAGGTTGGGAGTGTTTTTGTTTGTCAAATCTTATTGAACAAGTGAAACGCGATTCGTGTCTAGACAGGTAAGGATCTTCCCCCTCCAGCCGCAATGCACGTCGGAGGCTTCATCACAGGTTTCAGAGCTGCGAACAAGCAGTCTGTACCGCATCTTGTGGTGCCATCCACCCAGACACACCGTGCACATCATGGTGTGGCTTGCTCACGTCGAAGGTCTTTAGGGCCTCCAGGTACACGTCGGCCTCGGTCATGAAGGCGGCGACGGCCTTCTCAACTCACGGCAGCCGCCTGGTCTTTTTTATGAGTAGTGGACCATATAGCAATATACTGGTACAAATTTGTGATCACTAACCAGTTACTATTTTTGATAATATATGATTTAGTCTTGGTGACAAAGCCTGACATGGTCTCGTGCTGTCTGTCATTGGCTGGGGGCTATCCTCATTCTTCATCTTTGCGTACAGCCATAGACCGGGCTGATTTTCATAGAGTCCACTTCTTTTTGTGCTGCTATCATAACGTGAGGTGCTGCACATTTGATGCGCAGCTACAGAGATATAGTGCCAGTATACACTGTAGTGTGAAAAAGCGGTGTTTTCGTCTCACTTTAATAATAAAATACAAGACACTTACAAATACCAACAGCGATTCGGGTCGACCAAAATGCTGTTCGAAAACTACCAAGTAGTAGGTGCGGGAGGCAGAGAGCTTTATACTATGTAGTATGCGGTTATGATCAATTTATGAAAACAGAGTGGATGTAGTATACGGGTTGCCGCCGGAGTCCACCTTCGAGTCAGGCACCTTGCCCAGCAGGACGTATAGAATGTTACTCACTGGATCACAAGTAAGTGAGATGTTTCACTTTTCGCAACTGTAGTAGCCAAACTAATGATGCTTCCTGCCTTCAAAAAGCTCTTTTAATCTCATTTTCATTGTTAACCCCTCTGTTACCGGAAATCGGGCCTCTGAACGCCTTAGTTTTCGTCGTAAGTTATGCGATCTTTTTGAATTATTATTGTATAGTGCTGTCCTTCCACACACACACACACATACATGCGGTTTGGTGTATAAAGTTTGACCGTTTTTGATGATCACTTACGAAGGTTTGCAGTCGAATGAAAACTATCTCCAAACTTACGACTTTAGTAGATGAAACACATAGCCAGACAAAATCGACAGATGTTGGATCCCGGGAATTGGCATATCACATAGAAAGAACAAGATTCGGGACAATTTGCATTTTTGTTGAATACTTCCTAGAGAAATCAACCCAAATGCCAATTATCTAGCCAAACATTCTTCAATATTTATTAAGTCTTTTTGTGTCAGTTGGAGGCCGTTCTGTGTGAGGTCAGGGCATTCTTTGTGCAAGTTCTGATTTAACTTCTCCAGCTCTTACTGTTTTCACCAAAAAGTAAACTTGATTAAAGTAATGGAACGGTTTTTATTCGAGCCACTTCCTATTTGGAGCGTTAAAAACGTCGTAACTTACGACGTAGAAAAACTAATTTGTCGTAACTTACGAAGTTGATAACAGGGGGGGGGGGGGGGGGGTTATAAGTAAAAAAAAAAAAAAAGTTGCTAGTCAAAAATGAATGCGAGTAGTTTGTGTCCCAGAACACTTTCGCCCGATGTACTACTTCTTTAGTACATTCAAAATGCATGTATCACCACCAGTCACCACCAGCAACCATGCATGGTTAAGATCTGCTAAGGGATAATGCCAATTCGGGGCCGGTCCAAGCAGTCTTTTCTACAGTTTTACTTATATCTTTTGTTCTAAGACAAGCAACACGGCACCAAGAATCGTTTTTGTCGATTTTTCTGGCTAGTATTTCTGAAACATCTTTCTAATGCATAAACACACAATAGATCCGACTAAAAGAGCACACCAAGAATGATGGTCCTGCCAATTTGGGCTGCTTCAATTGACTTGATTTCACTACACGGTAAATGATTAGGCCTGAATGATCAATCACATCTATTAAATGCAAAACTAGAGCCTTTTATTGACCAAATGAGCCGACCCCTAATTGGCATTCTACTTTATATCGTGACTTTCCAAAGTTTTGGCCAATCTGACCTTTAAAGGCTGGTCCTAACCAAGGGTGGGTAGGGCTAAAGGTGGGATTTGAGGAGTTGAATTGCTAAG